TGAAACAGACAATGCTTAAGGTAAAGGTAATCAATTTGTTTGCATTATCCAAAAAACATTTGGTAACCATCTGTTACCCAAGGCATAAAGATGTCAGGGGATAAAGCAGCATGCCCTTTTTTGAACTAACAAACTGCAAATAGGAAGTGAAGAGACAGAGTAATTAGTCAGGTTTTTATTGTGGTAAAACAGCTGTGTTTTCTAGATGTGCTCAGGTTGAAGTTGTTAGCATATTTATGCATGTTATGGAAATGAGATTCAGTATTGAGGCAACAGTGTTCACTGCTGATGCTAAACTATTTAGGGTAGTGAAAACTGAAGTACACCACAGAAATTTGCAGGAAGGTCTCATGATGTTCATTCTCTGAGTGATTTTTACTAATATTTCATTGGTATTAAAACCAAAATAACACATGTGGGCAAGAGGGAACTTTCCTTTTGGGTACTCCGTGATGGTCTTGAAATTAACTGTTACACCTTAGAATTTTAGAAGTAGGAAGTGTCTGAAAACAATTCTTGGCCACAGCCAAAAAAGCAAGATGAATTTTAGCAGTTAATAGGAGATGGGAAAAAGGAGAATATTGTGCTGAAGTTCACAGCATCTTTAACACCTCAGTGTAAGGATTCTGTAAGCTCTAGAAAGGGCTAGTAGGGTAGCAAAGGTATGAAATGATTCTCAAACGCAGAGGCAGTTGAAGGAGAAGGACACCTCCAGCTCTATGGCTTGCATAGAAAATAGTGAAGGAGGAGCAATTGCTCATTGTCCTTTCTCCAAAACAAAGGAGTTCTTGCAGCAGTGTGTGGTCTGTTGTGGTACTCAAGTGTCACAAGGTACTGTAGACACCTAAACGAGATGGGATTGCAGATGATAAGTCAGAGCTACTGCAATTTTTATCTTGGAAAGTTCTTACACTACCAAAATAAAAGGAAAGAAGGGGAAGATTAGGTAACATCACTCTGCATTTGCCTTTCTGAAGTACTCTACCTTAGCCTTGGCCCTTGGAGACCAGCCACAGTGTTAAATAGACATTTTGAGCTATTTCTATGGTATTATATTGTGTAGAAATGTCATATAACAATTCTCTATAACATTTTCAGCACTGTAAATAATGTTATAAATAACTCCTCATTTTGCAGACCAATCAGCAGCTCCTGAAAACTGTGACAGAACAAGATACGGAACTAGAGCAGCTGCGAAAACAACTGAGGTATAAATTAGCCAAGTGAAAAAAAATACTCATCTTTTCTATAGCCTTTCCTCACCTGCTGCTATATCACAGGCTCTGTTTGTACTCAAGTTCATTCCATACTGATAGTAACAATGGTTTCAGTTAATGCCTCTGGAGTTTGTTAGGAATGTGTACATTATCAGTGTTTGGATAGTAGATTTCCAGTTACTGTTGTTTGGTTCAGCTGTTTCCTGAAAATATTCAGCATCTGACCTTTGATTGAAAGGAAACTAAGTGTCACTATCACAGCAGAGTTGACTCTGAAGACAGGTTTTCATTAGGATACAGTTTGCTCAAAATCCAGTTACATAGTTACTCATCACAGTTCTGAAATCTGAATGTTCAAAGTAGCTTCAAGTTTAAATGTTTCTAATAAAATTTGCATCCACTGCTTCTCAATAAAGAGCTCGAAACCATAGGCTCTGTGGGAGCTAGGGGTAAGACAAGTGTTAATCACATTCCTGAAGTATGTCAAGGAAAATGAGGAATAGTATCTGTGACACAGTCTCATGATTATTTGTGTTTAGAGCTGAAGTCTATTCAATCCCAGTTTACTGTGTCTGCTACCTCTTTTAATGATTTAATGATTTAGTGATTACCTAAAGTGTTAAATAAGCGAATTAAAATGAAATTTTAAGTGTATAAACTTAAAATGTATAATGTACTGAATTATTTTTTAAACAATGGGAGTGTTTTATGTTTCCATTGTACAATACATTGGGGAGCAGAACATTTGGGGTGAGACTTGTTAGCACTTATTATTTCTATTAGCCAAGATTTTTCCATGGAAAAATTCTTTTCCCATGGAAAAACTCTTTTCCCAAGTAGTGTGTTTTGAAGAAGGAAAATGTTGTTATAAGCAATCAAAGATGAATGTGATTTTCAGGGTATTTGCTAAAACAAAGTGTTTCCAAACTCAGTCATCACTTGCAATTTGCTTGTGCATGTTACTGCTTAATCCTTCAA